GTAATGACTAAGAATGACAGAAGAAGAATTGATGCCTTTGAATTGTGGTGCTGCAGGAGATTATTGAACATACCATGGACTGCCAAGAAAATAAATAGGCCTGTCTTGGAGAGGGTGAAACCTAGTTTCTCCTTGGATGCTAGGGTTTTGAAGCTCCATCTCACATATTTGGGCATGTGGCCAAAAGAGACCAGTCCTTGGAGAAGGTCATGCCCAGAAGGGTGGAGGGACAGCACAGATGAGGAAGACTCTACATGAGTTGGATTGATAAAGTAACTGGGGTTACGGGGGTAGGTGTGGCAGAGTCAGTGAGACTGACTCAGCACAGGGCAGGCTTCAGAGCTGTTGCACACAGGATTGCTATGACTCGCAGGCTACTGACAGCATATAACAACAACAACAGCAAGATTTTATTGCATGTGATATTAATGATACTGTCTGTTAATATCCACATTTTGTTGTATCACTTTTACTGGGAATGGGAGCAAAGATGGATTTCTGCCAGTCAGTTCCCAGTTCCATATTTTTCTGTAGAGATTGATGAACATGTTCAGGGTTCCATGTGTTTCTTGAAATATATCAATTGGTATTCCATCAACTCTTGGGCCTTATTTTTTGTCAATGCCTCAGTGTACATTGGACTTCTTTGTTCAATAGTATAGGTTCTTAATGAGTTTTTGGCTACTTCCAGAAATGGCCCTATGTAAATAAACTCTCTATGTACAGTAGTGACTCTGTGTAGTCTTTCCATCTTCTTTTGATGCTTCCTGCATCATTTAAAATTTTGTGCAGAAAATCTCTCAGTGTTTCAGCTCAAGGCTTGAGTTTGTTCAATTCTTTCAGCTTGAGAAATGCAGAGTTCTTCCCTTTTGGTTTTTAAACTCTAGCTCCTTACACATTTCTTTATAATACTTTACTATGTCTTCTTTAGCTGCCTTTTGAAAGAATCTATTCAGTTCTCTTACCTAAGCATTCTTTCCCTTTGTTTTGGTTTCTTTTTATTCCAATGCAAGTTTCAGAGTCTTTTCTGCGACTCATTTTTATTAAAATGGATGTATCTCGAAACTAGCCAGCGAGGATGCCATGTATCACAGTGGTCTGATCTGCAGCCCATTATGGGGGGGGGGGGGTGCTAGGCAGTATTTTGCTTTATTGTCCATGAAGGGTTGCCATGGATTGGGGGTCAACTGGATAGCAACTAGCATGTGAGTAATACTAAGAAACGACGATTATTTACATGACTATTTTCAGTTTATGAACGTTTCCTTCATTGGATGCTGCTGTTAATGATACATTACTCACTCATTCATTGTCATTCAGCTGGAACAGACTCACAGCTGTTGTTCTCCAATGGGTGTTCACAGGCTATAAATAGTACAGGGGGAAACTGTCCATCTTTGTCAGAAGGATCCACTGGTGATTGAACTGCCAGAGAGGCACAGCCTTTGGGCTAGTATTACAGTTCCTTATGTCTATGCCACCAGAGCTGCCTAGTGAGTTACCAGTACATTCAACGTAGATCTCTTCCCAATACACATCTAAGCCAGTTGGATTCCCTTCATCCCACCCTCCTACCACCTGCAATTTTGAAGATTCAAGAGAATAAAATATAGCCCAAGTCCACAAAAGTATGAGACTGACCCTAAAGTTTGTCTAGTTGTTTGTAAAAACTTGGTTTTTAAACATCTACTCCATCTTCAAGAAAAGTGAATTTTTAAATGACTTAAATTCCTATTGTCCACTTTTCAATGCTAGCATTACAGTGATACCAAACTTTGTCTAAGACAGTCACTAAATAATACTACTTACAATGGAGTCAGTTCATTACTAGCAAAAAAAAAAAATTAATCCTAAATAAAAGATTCACAAATTGAACCTCAAAGTGTATTGAAATACATGCATAAGCTTTTATTTTAGATGCATCAAAATGAGTTAAGGAACTATAGTGACACAGTGCGTAATATATTGTTAGGTTACTGACTGGAAGGTCAGCAGTTTAAGTCCACTATCTGCTTCTCTGAGGAAAGCAGGGCAGTTTCCTCCTGAAAAGATTTGCAATCTCAGAAACTTTTCTGAGGGAGACTGTATAGAACTAAGTCCACTGGAGTTTTGTAGGGAGAAGTTGAACAATATGAAACATACCTGATAGCTTATTTTATTAATAAGTCTGATTAAAAGTTAATCTACTAATGGAACTTAAAAGACAGTTTAATAGCATTTGACATTATTTCCTGTTTAAAAACTTGATCTGACCTAGAAGTAGAGGAAAACTTAAAAAACCTTATACTTGGACCAGGAAGCAGTCCCTAGAACAGAGCAGGGAAACACTGCATGGTTCTAAATCGAGAAGGGAGTACGCCAGCTATGTGTCCTGTCTTTATACCTTTTAAATCTATATGCAGAACAGATCATTTGGGAAGCAGGGCTTTATGAGGAGGAATGTGGTATCTGAATTGGAGGAAGAGTTATCAACAACTTGTGTTATGCAGTGGATACAACCTTGCTTGCTGAAACTGAGAAGACCTGAGACATTTGCTGCAGGTCAAGGACAGCAGTCTTCAATACAGATTGAAGCTTAACATTAAGAAAACAAAAATTCTCACCACTGGGCCAATTGGCAGCATCTTGATAGATAGATATTGAGATTTTTAACAATTTCATCTTGTTCAGATTGACAATCAACACCACAGGCACCAGCAGTCAGGAAATCAAAAGAGTAATTGCTCTGGGGAAAGGTGCTGTCAGGGACCTCTCAACAGTGCTGAAAACCAATGATGTCAGTCTGGAGACTAAGGTATATCTGATTCAGGCCATGGTCTTTGCAATTACTTGCTATGCACCAGAGAGCTAGATGATCAAAGATGACAAAAGAAAAATTGATGCCTTGAGTTGTGATCCTAGAGAAGATTATTGAACATACTATGGACTGCCAAGAGAGCAAGCAGGTTTATTCTAGAGAGGATGAAACCAGGCAGCTCCTTGGGGTCAAGGATTTTGCAGCTCTGTCTCACATATTTTGGGCATGTTACTAGAAGGGACCAGTCCCTGGAGAAGAACATCCTGCTTGGAATGGGTGAGGGATAGCACAGGAGAGGAAGACCCTGGTTGAGATAGACTGACACTGTAACTGGGGTAATAGGGGTGGATGTGTCGGAAACACTGAAATTGGGTCAAGACAGGGCAGGGTTCAGAGCTCTTAGCATCACTATGAGTCACAGGTGATTTGGGTGAGCTCCCTGATTCAAACAAGCTTGGAAGCAGGAGTAGCATCCACTTCTGAAATAGCTTGCCTCCGGAAACCCTATGAACCTGGAGAAAGGATAAAAGTTATACAAGCATTCAGGTCTTTCATTCATAGGATCACTATGAGTCGCCTATGACTTGATGGCACTTAACAACAACAACAACAACAACAACAGTGTATAGAGAAATCAGTTGGCCTAGTGGATAAAGAGTGGTGCTACCAAGCCAAAGGTGGGTGAATTTAATCCATGGCCTTCAGGCTCATTTTTAATTGTTTTCAGTGAAACATTCTTCTAGGTCATATAGCCCTGGTCTGTCCATTTGTTGTACAGAGGTAACTCGTAGTGCTGTGAAGCTGAACACTGTGACACTAATGTGTCAAAAGTGATAATGGTTACCCATAGTGGACAGTGTTTGGTGGAGCTCCTGATTAAAACAAGCTTGGAAGCAAGAGTGGCATCCACTTCTGAAATAGCTTGCCTCCGGAAACCCTTTGAACCTGGAGAAAGGATGAAAGTTATACAAGTATCCATGTCTTTTGTTCATAGGGTCACTGTGAGTTACCTACAACTTGACGGCACTTAACAACAACATACATCTGAGAAATGGAAAACAAATAAGGATGACAGCAGAATTGATACCTCAGAGTTGTGTTGGAGAAGTAAAGAATATCCCATGGACTGTCAAAGAATGGGTATGTCTTGGAAAAGGTGCAGCTAGTGTGCTCCTAGAAGGCAAGGATGGCAAAGTTTCCTCTCATATTTTGGATGTGTTGCTAGGAGAGGCTATAGTAGGGGCTATTCCTTTGGGAAATGATATCACGGTGACTACAGCAATGGGCTAAAGTGTGTCAGATTGCCAGTACGGCACAGGACAGGACAGGATTCCAGTCTGTTGTCCATAGGGTCGCTATGAGTCGCCTGCCACTCAATGGCACTTAACAACAACAACAACAACTATTCTAATGGAGCTCTGATGGGTTAGTGGTAAGGAATTGCACTGCCATCAAGTCATAACTGACTCATAGCTAATCCTCTGGCTGGTTTTCAGATGTTACTCGCAGGGGAGATTGCCCATTGTTCTCCCACAGAGCAGCTGGTGGATTCAAACCACGTGCCTTCAGGATTATAGGGCAGCTTCTTCCTACTAGGCCAGCAGTGCTCCCTAAGGGAAAGGTACTGTCTAAGGTTCAAATCTACCTGCTACTCTGTGGGAGAAAGACAAATCTACTCCTCTGCAGTCTAATGTCTCTGAAAACCTACTGGAACGTCAACTATGGATTGGTTCTGACTGATGGTACTTAACACCAACGTTATCCGTAGGTATGTCACGTTATTGTCTCTATTTTGAGGATGAGCAAACTGAGGCTCAGATTATGAAGCTGGTCCCCATATCACATTGAAGTTGAGAATAATTCACCGCTATTTTTCATTCATTCATTCATTGCTATAGGCTACAACATTCACTACAAGGTGATCAGTAAATACTGGTTTCTGTAGTAGGTAAATAGAATCAGTGTGGTTCGATGATCACTTGGCGGTGATGTAGTAGCTATTGAACATACAAAAGCGGAACTAAAAGCGCCACACATTTATTTCCCACGCAGATATTTGCAAGCCCCGCCCATTAGAGCCAACCCACCAAGACCTGGCAGGAAGCCCCGGAAGGGGCGAGCTTCCGGGGCGGGGCTGGCGCTGGTTGGCAGGCCTCGGGCGGAAGTCGGGCAGTAGGTGGTCAAAAGACGCTGGCTTGTGACAGGAGGGGGGGACGGAAGATCTGCGTAAAGGTTGCTTCTCCCGTCTTCGCTTCTAGGCTCCTCAAGAAAAAAAAACCCAACACCTTCTGTCCCGCGGTTCGCCCCTTCCCCCAGGCTCTCTCCGCTCGATTTCACCACCGTTATGTGGGAAGCGAATCCGGTGAGTAGCCAGGCGGGACGGGGCGGGCCCAGTGGGCGGAGTTGATGGGAGAGGGGCGGGGAGGGTGGTCCCCTGAGGAACTGCTCCCCCTCACCCTCCTGAACCTGGGTCTTGAGTTCCGAGCACCTGAAGATCCCAGGCCTTATACCCTCTTTATGGTCTCCGCCAGTTTACACTGTGGAGATGGTTTTCCCAAACTTGAATTGTTTTCCTATTAGGTTGGTTTCTTTTACTCGTTGTAGTTTCTTCGCCTCCCTTATGTATCTCTTTAAAGTTTTGATGACTTTAAAAAAAAATACTATATTCCTGGATTTCTAGTCAGAATTACTGGGCTTCGAACCCGTTACTTTACCCGCCCCCACCCCCACCCCCAATGTACCTACTATTCCCACTAGTCTAAATTGATAGAATGGCATTCCTATGTCTCCAGTTTATCTAAGAGGGAGGGAGCCATCAATACCATTCCCTTTCAGGTGGACAACCATTTGAAATCTGGGAAACTGATTTTATATCCTAGGCTTCTAAGTGGTGAAGTTCTTTAGATGTTTTCTTTTCAGTGGACGGAACTGATGCCCTGGGACGTCTCAACTGCAAGTCTCCTTACTTATTTAACTCTGGTATTTGCTTTTATACGTTTATATAAAATGTAGCTTTTTAAAAATAGGATCAGTTTGCCAAGAGTATTCCATTGTTCTCTCCTGACAACATGGCAACTGTTCATTATTTATGCCTTATAAGTTGACTGGGAAAAGCAGTCACATTTCAACAAGCTGCAGAGCTGAATATGTGAAACTATCCCCATATGCTGAGATAACTGCTGTGTTTAAAAGGGTTTGCATTCCATTCTTGTATAGCTCACTTGTTATGATCAATACTCCCTCCTTTAAAAAAAAAAAAAATCTGTATTTCTAGTATAAGTTAGAGGAAAACAAAACCCAGGGCTGTCAAGTTGATCTAATGCATAGGAATCCTGTAGAACAGAGTAGAACTGCCCAAGGCTGTAATCTTTACCAAAGCAGGCTACTAAGTTGTGTAGAGGGCTGGTTGACTTCAACCCCTGACCTTTTGGTTCTCACACAAGTGTTAAACATTGATTCACTAGGGATTCACAAGAAGTTAGTGACTTCATCAACAAATTTGTGTTTTCAAGTTTTTTTATTTAAATGTTTGTTATTTTGTCTCGATTGGTTGCTTGCACAACTCCATCCCAGTCCATGGTGTAACAGTGGACAAAGGTTTCTTTGGTTCATGCATTACTATCAGGACACTTTAGAAGAAAGTAATGCTGATATTTTATTTTAACCAAAGTAATTTAGAATTTGAAAATATGCTTTCTGCTTAGCCACTTTCACTATTTTCCATTAATAAAATTAATTCTTTTATTCCCCCTTCCAATTTTAATTAGCTGTCCTTTGTGAATTTTCCATAATGTACACTTCAGCCACCAAAGAAAACATCTTCAAAGTCACCAGCTTTTCATCCTTAACTATATTGTAAGCTCTATATGAGCAGGGATTTTGTCCATTTTATTTAGTATCTCTTCCTCAAGATAGGGAACATAGCCTGACATATAATATGTGCTCAATAAATGTTTGTTGAATTAATGAATCCTCTTAAGTGACTGGACCAGTTCTGGCTTGCACCTATTGTTCACTCTTGGTCCTCTGTCATATAGACATCAGAATTTGCTATTCTATGTTTGTGAAGATTATAAAGTCATCAATGAGTATCTTATCATTTACCTTGTTATGTCATTTTGTAATTTCTTTGTATTGAACAGTTTCCTTAGTATCATCTTAACAACAGTGCTGTTTTAGTAGAAGTAGCTCACTTCTGTTAACAGTGATGAACCCTCTACCTGTAAACTCACATTCTTGTTTTGAATTTAATTCTGTTTGATTTTGTTACTTACTGATGCTCTTTCCTCTTAAGGAAAATGAATAAAGATAGGTTAGTTTTAAAAACGAAAACATTCTAATGTGACTTCCTTTACTAATTTGTTAATTTCTGTTACTAGAAAAGATACCTGTATAGTCAGTCTACCTGTGCTTGTGGAAAACAATTAATTTTAATGTTTCCCTAAGTCTACCCCTTCTTCTGTAACTAAGGATGATAGAAGAAGGATCAATACCTTTGAGTTGTGGTGCTGGAGAAGAGTGTTGAACATACCATTGACTGCCAGGAGAACAAACAGGTCTGTCTTGGAGAGGGTGAAACCAAGCTAATTCCTGGAGGCAAAGATTTTGAAGCTCCGTCTCACATATTTTAGGCATGTGGCCAGGAGAGACCAGTCCTTGGAGAAGGACATCATACTTGAAAAGTTGGGGAACACCACAGGAGAGGAAGACTCAGGATGCGATGCATTGACTCAGTGACTGGAGAAATGGGATTAGATCTGTAGGAGACAATGAGATTGGTTCAGGATAGGGCAACATTCAGAGCTAATGTACATAAGGTGGCTATGAGTCTTCGGTGACTTGATGGCACATAACAATAACAGCAAGCCTAACCTTAAGGGACTGTTGTAAAACAGAGTTCTAGGAATTGGCAAAATACCAATTGAGATATTTCACCAGTCAAATACAATACTGGAAACACACATTCATCTGTGCTGGGAAGTTTGCAGGACAGATAACTAGCAAGAGATTCATATTTATGTCCATTCTAAAGAAAGATGATCCAAGAGAATGTGGAAATTATCAAGGCATTTGAGGTCACCAACCCACTACCTTTGTGTTGATTCCAACTCATAATTACCCTCTATCAGGTTTCCAAGGCTATTAATCTACAGGAGAAGACTGCCCTAATTTCTACCACAGAGCAACTGGTGGCTTGAAACCACTGACACTTCAGGTTGGTACCTTAACAGATAACAAAATACCGCACCAGGATTCCTTCATAAATGTCACAGGTGAGTGAAATTTTACTGAAGGGAATTTAAAAAATTTCTGAACACTGTATTGACAGAGAACTGTCCAGAAATTCAAGCCAGATCTGAATGAGGATGTATAATAATGGAAATTACTGATGTCAGGTAAATCTTAAAAGAACCCAGAGAATACTGGAGAGATGTTTTCCTGTACTTGACAGTTGATTGTAACAAATTATAGGTGACATTATAAATAAGAACATTTAATTTTACTCATGTGGAACATGTATGTATGTAAACTAAAAGGCAGCCAACCATCCAAACAGGATGAAGGTGTACAACGGCTTCAAATCAGGAAAGGTGTGCCTCAGAAATGTGTCCTTTAATCATAGTTAATCTCTATATTGAACAAATAACCAAGAAATTGGACTGTAAAACAAATTGGAAGAAGACTTACTAATAACTTTGACATGTAGATAATACAGTTTTGCTTGAGCTTACTGAGGAAGTTCAACATCTACAGTTTCTTTATACTATCTGTGGCTTTAATATACTACCATTGACCTGAAGATCGACCTCCTATTGCAAATATACAATCTGTGTAATACTGTGTTCCACTCACAGGAGTTTTGAGGAATTGTTACATTGACCTCAGCCGTGATAATTCTCAGAAGCACCTACTTCTTCCATGTGAACCAAGAAATAGCCAGCATGTTGAAAATTATCATTGACCCATCACCATTTCCTCGGATGGAAAGCACCAAGATATCCGCAGAGCTCTAACCTCACATAACATTATCTCAGGATGTAATTTTTGTTTGTTTCATGATAGTCTATGATAATTCTTTTCTAGTCTTTCTTGACCAAGAACCTGAGAGAAGCATAAAGTCGTTGCCAGGACAGTCCTGATTGACAGAAGCCAGTGGACACGCCTCAATTCTTAGATTAGTGATTGGCATCTCTGCATCTCTCTAGGGTGGAGGTAGCCTTTCTAAAAGCAGTAAAGTGTAGAAATGGGAATGAGCTGTTTGTCACTGTCTTTATACACTCTGATTTTGCCTTTCCTGTCTCAATCTTGTTGTCATGGTCAGAGCCATCTTTGCTAGGATTGGGTCAGATAGATCAGTATTACTTACACAGGGAGTTTTGACTTCTTTATGTTATACTGGTAGGGGAGAATGAAAAATAACAAGTCTGTTCAAACTTACAAACCACTGTAGGAAGAATATTTAAATGAAAGTGTTTGATAAACTTCTGAAATTCTTGCCCATTGACTCACATTAGAATAATGTGATGAATTTCCTGGGGAGGAGAAAATTATTTTCTCAAATCACTCAAGTGAGCAAGTAACAGAACTGTAATACTATACAGGGCCTTCACCTCCGTTTAGATCCTGAGGGAGCAGTGATAATATGTGTGGATTAATGCATTGCTTTACTTGTTGGGCCACTTTCCCCCTCTCATTTCATATTATACCTACTTCCAAATTCCCCTGGAATGGTCTGTCTTTCTGACAGGCTTTTTAATGGAATGTTTTTTATGCTTTTTTGTCATTACTCGTGCTATAAATACTTAGCCCAGTTTCTACTCAACAGTTTATTGCTAACAGATCACCAAGAACTTTTGAATCTCTACATATGATTGCACTTTATCTGTTTTCAACCTCTTCTGTCTGTCTGAAACTTTGATGTAAGAGGGCATTGTCTAAGAAAAATTTTTTTAACTTGCCCTTGGAACTGTCCTCCTTTGGACTTCTTTCCCTTTCTATAATGTATCATTGGGTCATGATTTTGACTTTGTGACACTGTTGCCTTCTGTCCATGTTCTACACCTAATCTTGTATCTCTTCAAACCTACTGCAGTTGAGTTGACTGGAACCCATAGCAACCCTATAGGAGAAGGTAGAGCAGACTCTTGAGATTTTCAAGGCTGTCAATCTTTATAGAGTTAGTTCATCTTCCTCCCATGGAACAACTGATGAGTTTAAGTGACTGGCCTTTGTTTTAGCAGCTTAATCACTGTGTTGTTAGAGCAACTTTTCTCTATTAACACATCCTACTTGATAATCCTGTCCATGGACTCAAATACTATTGAAATCATACCTGTTACATGTATGTCTTTAACCATAACC